TACTGATCATCTGGTTCAGCTCGGGTGGAGTCTTAGTAAGGATATCCCCTCCTGGGCATAGAGACTCAATCACCCTCTGGCTGTCTGGAGTAAGGGCGCTGTAGAAGTTCCCTACTGTGAAAGCATCGCTGAAGCCATGATGGGGACACTGCCAGAAGTATCCCATGTACCGCTCCCATGCATCACGAAGTGACTCATCTGGCTCTTGGCGGAAGTGAGTGATCTCCCGCTGTATCTCGTGGTCTTCGATGCCGGATAATACCGGTGCACGAACTTGTCAGCCAGATCGTCCCAAGAGTGATGGACAATGGGGGCTGGGTCTCCAACCACCTCTTAGCATTCCCCGCCAGAGAATGGGGGAAGAGGTGAAGGCGGATTGCGTCATCCGGACACCGTTCAGCTTGAACCCGTTCGTCAGCTGCAGAAAACGGGAAAGATGTACCCGGGCTTCCTCATCCTTCAAGCCATGGAACTGGATAGAGGATGTGATGAGTTGAATCCAGCATGGCTTGATCTCGAAGTTGTTTGCAGGAATGGGCGGATAGAGGATGACCGGCGGATGTCAGCAATCCGTGGAGTATAGTAGTACTCCAAGGTGGGACCCGGTGGTGGTGGATGATGATGGTTTCCAGCTCCCTGGGGATTTGGGTCGTTCCCCAGGATCTGGTTCTGAGGAGGGGTTCTGATCGCCTTCCATCTCGTACTCGTCCTCGGAGTCGCTGCTCAATTGGCCGTCTCGGCGCTCCACCGTAGCCAGTCTAGCTCGCTGTTGTCTCCGAAGTTGTTTGCAGGTGCGCTCAATCTCAGGATTCAACGGCAGTAAACCTCCCGACTGGCTACGGGTCATGCACTATCTGCACACAATCAAGCAATGCAAACCCGTGAAGGCACAAGTGGGAAGGAACAAACACTCAATGCAAAAATGAAAATGCTAAAGTAACAGAAATCACTTTTCTTCAACAACCTAGCCGTCCCCGGCAACGGCGCCAAAAACTTGACTCACTCCTACTGTCACTCTAGAAAATGGCCAAGTGCAACCACTTCCTAAAGCGTAGTATAGCGGGTTTGGGTTTTATTGTCAACCCGGGTCCTAGATGTGATGACTACTCGGTGAATTCTTGTTATTTAGCGGTGAACTTTTAGTGCAACTCAACAAACAAAACACAAAGCAAGTAAACGGTTGTTGTCAAGTCAAGAGAGGTCACCCGGATATGGATCCCCCTAGACTGCAGTTAAGTCGGATTGCAATTTACCAAGTTCAGTTTTCATGAAAGTTATACTGCGGAAGGTTCTCAATTAGCCTGAAGTCTCGACTAAAGGTCTCCAGACCCTCTCAATCTGAGTCTCTAGCGGGCGACTAACCTCCACCGGAGTAAACAGATTGAGGCCCTAACGAACCAAACCTCCACTACCGAATTGAATTCGGTACAGAATAGCGAATTGGCTCCTCGACTAAAGTCACCAATTCGCCACCTTCGATTAAGGGTACTCTATCAACCTAGGCAGATATTCTCATTCTAGGTCAAAGCAGAAACAACAGGAATTTGATCAGGATTCAAGTCATTCAATCATTCAAACCTCAATCGAATATAATCAATTCACAAACTCTGTACTTGGGTTCATACAATCAGACCTAGCATACAAATCTAGGGTTCCCCATACCCAGATGAATGGGGGAAACTACTCCATAGAGAAAGAAGCAAAAGCAGATTCAGACGCGGAAATCATACTGTGAAGATGGATTCTGCTCCTGGACGTTTAATCGCACTTCTCCAAGCTCAACCGGGCTCCAATGGTGTTGAAGATCGATCTATGGCGCTTGGGAACTCTGGTTCGTCGCTTTCTCTCTCTAGGTATCGCTTTCTCTCTCAAAAACTCGGAACCCCCTGAAAATTGGCCTTCTTTCTCTTTTATCAACTGCCATCGCGATACCCGGTCTAAATACCCGGTCGGGTATTTAGGGGTTCGACCGGGTATTATCCAAAACTCACCGTTTCGTTAAAGGGGAAAATCCCCGGTCTGTTCTCGTAATCCCCGACCGGGGATTTAAGGCATTTGCCCGGGCCCCCTTCTGCTTCTCACGGACGCCCGAAGTGAGAAATACCCGGTCAAGGCCAGAAAATACCCGGTCGGGTATTTTTCCTTTGGCCGGGTATTTTGGTCCAACAGCCTCCTTTGTCCCAACTTCGCTCCTTTCGACCCGGACTCATTCCTCCGCCTCGATTCCAACGCCGGGACCTGAAATATGACACAAACACACAACCTAGCGTAAAATCGGCTTAAAACACGAGATTCCTCATCACAAACGGCTTCAGAATAGGGGTGAAAATATGTGTAATTAACGATCTATCAATGGTACAATAAATAACTAGGTTATGACAAATAATTTGACATTACGGCTCTTACCGAAAACATATTTGGCAAATACCACACATTTGGCTCTTTCACATCATGTTTTTCAGACATTGTTAGTGCCCTTGCACACAAATCCACTACCTACCATCCAACAATCAAACACAAAATCATCGTAAATCGTAACATAAATAGTGCACAATTCATACGAAAGTCGTAGTAGTATAGTACTTACTGATGAGCAACCCAGCTATTCTCGCTAACGACCGAAATCAAATAATTTCGTTGCACGTTTTCAGAAAAAAAAGTCAACAACGGTCAAACTGCAAAAATCAAAATAACAGAAATGTCAATTGTGATTTGCAACATACAGGTCGACCTGTTCACAGTCACGGTCGACCTTATTGGAGACCTAAACGGTCGACCACCCGTACTAAAAAAACGTCTTACTTGTCCCAATTCGTGTCCCCAGCCTTCTCTTTAGTAACAACATAATACAAGTCTCAACTGGATTTTGAAGATTTTTGGTGAATCCTTCTAGACCCTCCACTTTCATGACCTAAAATCATAGTTAAATGAAAGTAACATATGAACACAAACACACATTATAGATGAATATGTAACGTAAACTTACCTCGTGCTTTTCGAAAGGACTCTTAGATTCATCTTCATCGCTGTCAGCACTAAATAATTCTTTTCTTACAAAATGATCCTTCTGTGGGGTGGTGTAGGAGTCACTTTCATATCGAGGTCTCTTGTACTTAGGAGAGGAACCCTTGCTGCCATTCGTTGTTTCACTCTGTCAAACATATAAACAAAACAAATTAGCACTAATGATAGTAATACTAATATCTTCAATCACATATGAATATACTTGGATACCTTTAAATTGTGCTCTTTCAATAAATCGTCTATGCTCTGGTAGCAATTTTCAGAGTCATCATGGTCTTCCTCCTCTTTACCAAAGTCAATTTCTTTCCTGTACCATCTCTTCCGCCATTCTCCATTCGTTCTGCACTTATATCTTTGATAGCACCTTCTAGCCTCTCAAACCCGTCATGCATCATCCCAGTCATATCTGTCAGTCGAACTGACAATTGCTCCACTCTATCACGCATGGACTTCTGAAAGTCATTGACTTGTGTTTGACACACCACCAGCTTCTCTTGTGTGGCTTTCAACAATTTCATGATTTCACCCAAATCTTGATGCAGTCTCTCATCATGCGTCATCGTCTAAACAATGTAAAGAAAAATTCAAATCATAATTCAACTACAAATTTCTACAATTGACCAGAAAACAAAAACGTGGTCGACCTGACAAATTATTAGGTCGACCTGGAAGACAAATAGTGACTACCCCAACCATTAAGGTCGACCTCTGTTCTTCCTAGGTCGACCTATCCAGCAGGAAAATAACAATTAACAACAAAAAGTAAGTTCAAAATTAAACCGAAAAAAGGATAGGTCGACCAGATATCTGGCGCGGTTGACCTTTTCAAGCACAACATAGTCATACAAACAAAGACAAAGTCGACATTCAGGTTGAATAACCAAAACAAACAGAAACGGTCGACCTTGAAACACATTAGGTCGACCAATTGGGTTGATCTTCGTTACCTCGCAAGTACAGAAGTCCAAGTGTTGTGCCCTAAATTCAAATACGAAGAATTGTCTCGTCAGGTCGACTGGTTGATGTCTCGATCGACCGAATGGTATTCTGCACGCAACAATAGATCAAATTAGACGGTGGAAATCACGCATTAGAAAAGATGACGGCGAATGCTACATTAGGTCGACCTCACTTAGACCTGGTCTACCACTTCCAACACGTACAACAGCAACCGCGAACGATCTTCTTCACAAAGGCTCTAAATCGGAAAAAAAACCTAATTCAGACTTGGTGGCGTTGAAGGGGACTTATATTCATATTTATAGAGATTTAGGACGTGAATGGGCGACCCAATTCGTTTCTTTGTCCAATTGTGGAACCTTTCTGGTGTTGGAATCCATATCCGATATGGATACGGTGTGAATGCGGTCGACCTCTTTATAATGCGGTCGACCTGTTAGGTGCACAAGGGTCGGCCTATGAGGTATTTGGGTCGACCTTTCATTCTGTTAGACCACCAAGCGGTCGACCATATTATGTATGAGGTCGACCGCGTCTCGGAACCTCACATACATGAATTAGTCAATTCGGTCGACCGCATTATGGATTAGGTCGACCGAAAAGTCCATGTCACGGTGACATGCATGTCACCATAGCAAAATCCAAACTTTTATACACGTACATATTGTCCATTAACTACCTTCAATCCTCAAAATGGTTCAAACGACAATAATTCACAACACAAGCAAAGCAATGAAGTTTGGGTAGAAAATTGGAGGAATGAAATTGGAAATATTTATACGAATGAAGTTTGGCTGTTGCTACTAGGGTTAGGCCGACTTACAGCATACATAATTATGGGCGGGTACAATCGGACGGGTATAGGTGATTGCCGTGTCCGTACCCTACTCATTATTTTTAAACCGGGTATTATCCATATCCGTCCCTTAGTCCGTTAAAGCGGGTAATTACCTTCGTTGACCGGTTACGGTCGGATAGGATACCATGGTTACCGATTGGATTGACATCCCTATGTGCTAATAGATGTGGTTGTTACTTATCAACAATTTTTATAAATTTGATGGTTGCCCCAAAAAAGTGAGTGCACCGAATAGACTATCATTATGGTGGCTACTTCGGTGCACTCACTTGACTATTTTGGTGCACTCATTTTTTTGGTGTATTTAATGCACCCAACTCTAAAAGTGGTCATAATACATTAAAATTGTAACTTTAATTGGTAGAATTAATGTAATACGATGATATAACATAGAATCATAACTAATCAATCCATTGCCCTAACCTTTTGACCTTCAATTTTGATTCCCAACCCAAAACCCCAAATTGTAAATCTAAACCCTAACCCTAAATCCCCAAACCTTAATCATTCAAATTAAAGTTCATTTTGAGTGATTTTTGTAAAAATTAATGTATTTTCTTGTCCATCATACCTAGAATGACGATTATGAGGGGGTGCATTGAAAAGTGAGTGCACTGAATACACTACCATTATTTGATAATTATCTTTAACGGTTGTCTAATTATTTCCTTAGATTAGTTATGATCGAAAAATTTCATATTATGAGTTCTTATAACTCTCAATATTAATCTCTCAAAAAAAAACTCTCAATATTACCAATTAACTTAGTCACATAAAATAGAGGATTTGAAAAAACTTCAAACTCTCACACACAGAATCACAATTTCTGGTACCAACTATGACTGACTTTTCATATAACTAAGTTGACAAAGAATAACGGGAATGGTGGTTGGAGTAGTCAGTACTATTACTCATCAAGCATGAAATCATGATATGCCTTCTTTCAAATAAGCTACATTTTTTATAGCATAGATAGCGTTTTATCAATAAGCTATAATTTTGCTTCAAATTGTGAATTGAATAAGCTTTAGTTAATTATTAATTTTGGTCTCATGATCTATTCGTTCTGAGTAAATATTATTTGGTAGTATGCGATCTATAAGGGGTCAAATACGTACTTTCTAAGTCTCTCGGATATTTATGGGATCTAGATACTTCAAACATATGTATTAAAAACCCTTATCGTTGAAAAGAAACAAACATTTAAGATAAAAACCTTACAATTTGTTATAATTCTTACATGATAAATATTTGGGGCTGCCTACTCTAACGCTCTCTCCAAGATGGCTACCTTTCGTTATCTGGAGGAGAAACTGCTGGAACGCCTACAGAGATGGAAACAGCGTACGTTTCCTGGGCTGCTAAGAAATTTTGATAAAATCAATTACTTTAGCTTTGCCTCTACATGTCATGTCCTGTTTAGGCTTCCGCTATCTCTGTGTCGACTCCTAGACAAACACGTGGCCGCTTCAGGTGGGGAGTTGACGATGGCCATTCCAGGATTCGATGGGTTTCTTAGCGTAATATGTGCAGAAGTAAGCTGATGGAGGGATGTGATTTTGCCGCTTTCAACATTTTAATCAGGCCCTTTTGGCTAAGATTGGCTGGCGTATCCTTAATGAACCTGAGTCCCTGTTAGCCCAGGTGTACAAAGGGAAGTACTTTCCAAATGGGACTTTCCTTAATGCTTCGACTCGGTCCCGTCCGTTTTGGGGCTGGCAAAGTATCATTTATGGTCGTCAGTTGCTGGATATGGGTTTACGTTGGCAGATTGGGAATGGGCGGACTGCTTCTCTCCTTCACTCTAAATGGATTCCTCGGTTGCATCCCTGGCCGTTGATGTATAATCCCCTGATTTTGCCTGCTGGGGGGGGGGGGATTCACCTGTTGCTAAAGTGATCTGCCAAGAGGGCGGGCGCTGGTCGGATGATAAGCTTAGTCAATGGTTGACCTGGATACGTGTAATGCGATCAAAGCTATTACTCTGCCGCTCAGAATATAGAGGATAGATTGATCTGGCATGCCACAGCTGATGGGGTCTTCAGCGTTAAGTCGACCTATCATTTAGCAGTTTCGATTGATAAAGGCAATGGGCGATGGCGCCATTGGGCTAGTTGGATGGATAAACCTAGCTGGATTCGGTTATGGGAGGCTAATATCCCGCCTAAATTGAAAGTTTTCTACTGGCAAATCTTTGACAGAATCTTGCCGACAACAGAAGCTCTTCGGGAAAGAGGGGTGAATGTACTCCCTAGTTGCTCAGTCTGATGGGCTGATTCTGAAACCATGGAGCACTTGTTTCTTGAATGTCCGGTGACGCGTGCACTTTGGGATTTCTGGGCATGGAGTATCTTGGCCAAGGGTTGCCACACCATACATTCTATCTCTTCTTTAAAAGATTGATGACTTTAGTACACCAGCCTACGCTATTTATGAAGGTTGTTGCCATCCCGTGGAGGATTTGGTGGTCTCGGAACTGGGTTGTATTTGAGGGCAAACAGTTTGGGATCCCCTTTTTGATGCGTCAATTTAACCAGCAGTATGAGGAATGGGTCCACCTGCCTGTCGACCTTGTCCTGCAACCAATTGTTCCTTTGGTAGGTCACCAGTTATCTGGTACCCCTTGACGGCTACTTGTATTGGGATGGGCGACTAGGAGTGGATCTCACTCGACGGGAGGGATGGTGATTATGGATGCACATGGAGATCTCGTTCTGGCCAAAGGGATTCAGTTTCCGCGAATTGATGTGCCCCTGGTAGTCGAGCTTCTGGTTATTCGGTGGTGCTAGGGCCTAGGATTCACGGAAATGAAATTGAAGGCGATGCCAAGGTCATTATTGATAAGATCAATTGGGCAGACACTAGGGATAGCTAGATGGGGGCGATTCTTCAAAAAGTTGTCAATCTTTTAGCAGTCCATTTTGGGTTTAGTGTGCGGTTTGTAGGTTGGAGTAACAATAGGGTAGCCCATTTGGTGGTTAGAAAAGCTCTGTCTTTGTACCCGATTACGAGTCGGCTCTTTGATTTTCAGGTCTGGCTGATCTCCAAGGTATAACTATCTGTTCTTGAATCAATTGATTATCTTTTGTGGAAGAGAAAAACAATTGGACCTATGAAATAGTACATATCTTGAAAAATCATCATGATTGTACAAAAAATAAAATCGTATAAAGATCGATTCAAGATGAACAAAATAAGACAAGAGTAGGAATATTACAACTCCTCCTAATGGACTCGGCCTACATCTGATGTCTACATTCTGCTAGCAGTCAAAATCTTGTAACCAAAAACAAGGCCCAAGCGAATTGTCCTCTCCGATGGCGGAAATTCCACCGTCCGGAAAAGAAGAAAGAAAAAAAAAAGATAAAGGGAGACGACAAAGAAAACGTAGCTGCCCACCCCGAATCAATTTAGGGAGGAGTCAAGCGTCTGACGGACGCACGTAACGACGACCGCCAAGCCTTTCTTCCTCGGACTCCCCCAACCCATTATTTCCCCATTTCCACCCGCCGGAGCTGCAGAACCGAACCGGAGTTCCTTCCGATTCGGAATGTAGCACGAGAAATCCCGGAAAAGAAGAAAACCACTCAAGGGGAATAATATCTGAGATGGGCCGAGATCAGTCGAAGCTCCTCAGGATCCTTATTCCCCTCTTCGCCTCAACTCCGTCACCATCTTCCTCTACTTCTCCTTCCACCACCACGACGCCCCGCCGCTTCCCACCTCCAGTCGCCAATTCCTCCCCGACCCAATTCACCACCAGCCCTCCAACGCCACCCCCGACGACGGTTACCTCAAGCCCTGGCCCATCCTCCCTTCTTACCTCCCTTGGACTCGCAAACCCAAGGACGACGCCCCCTACCGCTCCTGCGAGGCGTATTTCGGCAACGGATTCACCCGTCGCGTCGATGTCCTCCCGCCTTCCCCCGATCGCTCCGCCGGATGGTTCCGCTGCTTCTTCAGCCGGACGCTGCTGAGCTCGGTCTGCGAGGGCGGCGGGATTCGGATGGTACCCGATAGGATTGCGATGTCGAGGGGCGGGGAGGCGCTGCAGGAGGTTATTGGGCGGGATGAGGAAGATGAGATGCCGATTTTTCAGGACGGCGCGTTTCAGATTCTGGGTTCGTCGGAGGGTAAGGCGAGGAGGTGGAAGAAGAGGAGGAAGCTTGTGGACGAGGGGTTTCTCGGCGAGTACCTGCCGGAGGGAGAAATTGAGAGGCACACGATGCGGCAGCTTGTGGGTTCGATTCAAATGGTGGATGCCACGGAGTTCCAGTGTGATCAGGTTAGAGTTCTGCCTCCTACTCCATCAATGGATCTCCTTCTTTGGCTATTGATCTCAAGGAAGTGCAGATCAAATATTGAACTATTAATCAGAAGGGGTTTTGCCTATTTCCTTTTCTGAAATGCGAAGTTTAGATGTCGTTTGTAGGACGACATTGAATGCTGTCCTGATCTCCTGATCGATCCGGTGAGAATTAATTGCCAGGGGGATCTGGAAGAGATGTGTAGCTTTACACCGAAATGGATAAATGCCATGCTAATGGTAGTTGCTTGAATATGGATTACGGTGAATTTGGATGAAGTTTATAGTACCATTTTCTGCATCATGTCATGATTTTTGCATCCTTCTTAGCTGTGGCTTTTGATACGGTCTTAATGTTTCTGCATTATACTTGCAGTGGATTGAGGAGCCGACGTTGCTTGTCACCAGATTTGAGTATGCGAACCTTTTCCACACTGTAACAGATTGGTACAGTTCATATGCGGCTTCTAAAGTCACGGAGTTGCCTTACCGGCCTCATTTGGTTTCGTGGATGGCCATTGTAGAGTATGTTCCCTCTTTGCGCTCTCTCTTTCGATTGGGTTACACATTGAAATGAGAACACATCAACTTAGGGGTCATTTGCTTGTTGGATTTGGATCATGGATTTGATGCCCAAATCCAAAGCTTGATGGATTTACCTCAAGTCTGTTGTTTGTTGATGGGTGCCAAATTTTGTGGGGTCCACAGATCCAGTAAGCAAACAGCTCCTTAATTTATCAGAGATAATGAACAACTATAAACCAGGAACTTTGGAGCTGATTCTTATTTCTCTATACTTCAAATCTTCAACTTCTCTATGTGATATTGTTTTCATTGCCTCAGCGTATAATCTTATCAAGCCACTTAAGTATTATGATTTTTTGTGTTTTGGGGGAGAAAGATCCTATTTTATGTGATCATTCTGGGGACAAGTTAACTTTGTTATGTGCTTATGATGGTTTCCACGTGCTGTTGCAGAGGGATGATTTGACTTAGATGCATCATAGAGCTTTAGTTCGCGGTATTGATGTGTCATTTCTAATGTCTCTTCTCCTTTGTTTGTTATAAACATCAATAGCAAAGAGTTGGTTCCTGGAAGCTTGAGCATTTCATCATGGCTTCTTTAGTCTCTCTCTCTCCCCCAATGAATGATGCAGCTTCTTTATAACTAACGTTGGCAATTTAAGTCATATATTTGCTTTAAGCGTATTGGGGAACTCCAGGATTTCACAGTCTCTTATTATTTTTCTTTATACCTTTGTTTCTTAGTTGGGATATGGCTTCTGTTAGGTCAGGAATTATATTCTAGAGTGAAGTTTACATGCTACGTTCACTATATTAATTTAGTTCAATCATACATTGCATATTGTGCTTCGACCTTGGTTTGTCTGAAGCGTGCTTGTCTAGCTCGCTCAGTGATTTCTCACCTTCCTGAGAAAATTTTCAGGCACCCTTGGAAGAAACCTGGAGTGCTCTCTTCTCTAGCATCCAATATGCTAAAAACTTTACGGGCTCAGTGTGTTACCGCCATGCTGTACTTGTTCCTCTGGGATATGAGACTGCCCTCTTCAAGGGTCTATCTGAAGATATATTCTGTAATGGAGCTCCTGGGAAAGAACTTTGGATGAACCCTGATGAACACAAGACAGCAAGATTGTCAGAGTTTGGAGAAATGATAAGAGCAGCCTTTCACTTCCGGTCAATAGGCCTGGTTCCGAAAAGCAGCTTCAGGCCTCAATGTCCTTTTTGTGAGAAGGGAAGATTACTTGGCCCACCCACGCCACGATGGAAAGGTTCAATCGAGACTCAGCAATGAAGAAGAGGTGTTCGATGCTGTACAGAAATGGGCATCATAAACACAATAATCATTCAGAGTGTAAAGTGAAGGTGGTGAATGGATTATTTGCACACATGCCAATGAGGAGCAACTGAGAGCCATTCAAGAGGCTTCTGTTATCATAGGCGCTCATGGTGCTGGCTTGACTCACATTGTGTCGGCTACACCAAGAACTGTGATTCTCGAGATTGTGAGCGCAGAGTTCAGACGCCCACATTTTCAGTTGATTGCCCAGTGGAAAGGGCTGGAGTATCACGCAATATATCTCGAGGAGTCGCATGCTGATCCAGTGGTTGTGATCAGCAGGCTGGGACGCATTGTGAGAAGCTTTGAATGTTGAGAAGAAATCTTTCCCCTCTTAATCAACCGTCCATTAGGGTGAGTTCTTAATGATAAACATCGTTAAGGGATGCTGAGGAGGCCATGGCAGATTCAAATTTTTACCATACGAAGATCAATTTGTGCGATGTGGAGGAGAGCTTGGACTCAATGTGGATGGAAGCTGACGCTGATCGCTGAATGTAAATTTCGTTAGTTGATCATGACAATTGCAGCGTTCTATGTCGTTGGCGGGCATAGAGGGTGAAAGGTCAAATGGAGGCAATTTTATTCTACTCTGGCTGATAACCGGCAAGGCGGCTGTCCTAACTTGTGACTGCCTTTGTAGAGTTGTGTCATTCAGGTTGTTAGGCGGGTTAGGTGGGGGCTGATTGTTTCTGGGAAATCTCTGTAACATAGGAATACGCAAAACTCATGTCTTGTCATGGAGATGATGGCATCATATGCTCATATCAGTTGGGAGTTGAATGGGAGAAAGAAAGTCGCTGATTGCTGGTTTCTTCATAAACAAGAAGGAACCATGAGTGCTCTCTGAGTATACAACTCGCCATTTTTGTGGTTCCACTCTAAATCTCTGATCATGTACAGCTAATGTTGACGTGACAAACAACAAACAAATAAAAATTAGCTCACTCGCTTACAAGGAGAAACAACTCGATGCAAAAGCCTGCCTTCCATATCCACCTCAACTTGCGAATTAGCTCAACTAAGGACGCCAAGAAGCAAAGGAACGATTCAGATACAGACACAAAACGAGATATAGAATGTCTTAAAGGAGCTGCAACGCAGACTCTGTTCCACCAAACTACGAGCAGTTAGTACAGTAGAGAGAGGCCGACCCTTTTGATTTTGGTGCTCTTTAGTTTCTCGACATCTTCCTTCTCTGCTTCAAAGTAGAATCTGAAGGTAACGGTGAGCCCAGCATATTTGACATACCAAATTTCAGCCTCTTCTAGTATTCTTTGCTTGGTCTCAACTAACAAATTCTCGTCATACCACAAATATACATTATCTTCTGATGCCGTACCATCCAAATGTAAACCATGACTGCTCCAAGAGGCAGCTGTTAAGGTGCCGATGTTGCAATCGCACTTAATATCCAGCCAGTCGATCCAAACATCCGAAGAACACACAACGCGAATGCAATCCCCTTAATTGGCTTACTGGAGTTTGGAAGCGGCAATTGCACCATCACACATGAATCATTCTTATTGTAAGCAAACCAATCTGGAATCTCACTCCCTGAATATTGAAGATCGCCCTGTTACAAACAGAGAGGCAGTTTTCATTAGAAAAAATGTCTTCCAACACTTTTCCCAACTGCTAATCATATAAATAACAAAAACATTATATTACTGAAGTTTTCATATACCCGAGGATGTAGATACAAGTTGCATGAATAGGGAAATTCTGCACCATTTCTTTAGGAAGATTCTTGTCCAATCGCGGGCAATCGTCAAAGCACAGGTACTTCCATCTCAGCTTGCCTAAGTTGCTTGGTAAGGCTTGTAACATCTTGCAACCACTTACATCCAACAGTATAAGATTGGGCGGGAGTTCTGGTAAAGATTGAATCATCGAACAGCCCGTCAAGTACAAAGAGGATAACTTGGCAAGTTTATGGATGGCGCTCGAACAAGCTCGAGGCTTTTGCTGAAGGACAGATCTAAAAGAGAGAGCTGGTCCAGCTCCTGGATACAAGCAGGCAAAGACGTAATATCTGTGGCACAGAAATAGAGAGCCTGTAAAGATCTCAGATTGTTGATACCAGCTGGAAAACTCTCCAAGTTTCCACATTTGAATATTTGAAGCTCAGTTAAGCCATTAACAGGCTGTGAGACCTCTGGCAAACTTTCAATCAACGGGCAATCATCAAGTACGAGTGTTTGAGAGACCATCGTCCAGATATTCATTGACAAGCTCTTGAGTTGGGGTTGTCAACCAACTCCAGTTGAACAAATCGTGGCAATAGTAATTCAGAGAAGCTAGGTGATCTTCATCATAAGATTCCATCTCTCTTATTGTGGTATGGCACAGCCGAAACAAGTTCAAGTTTGCCGAAATTGCTGGGAAGCTGGTGATGTGTTTGCCGCAGAGACGGAGGATACTACCCTGCTTCACATTGAAAATTGCACCCGGCAAGACTGTGACAGCCTGACAGGTGTCTCCATCAAATCTAAATGCACCAATCGTGAATTAATCTCCGGACAACGAATAACCATGGGACAGTTGGACAAGTAAACATGCTCAAGGAATTTTGAGTTGAGTTTCACGGGAAGACTGTGCAGATTTATACAATCACCAAGATCCAGTGTAATCAGCTTGTTCAAATATTGAATATGAGATGGTAGCTCGATCAGGCTTTTACATCCCTGGAGATAAAGGTACTCGAGATTTGGAGAACTCGACAGGTCTGGGACATCAGTTAAATTTATGCAGTCGGACAGGTGAAGCTCCACTAGATTCACAAGCTTTGGCTGCAAAAGAACAAGAATATAAAACAAGGCTAAGATATAATAAATCCCTCTTTGAGTTTTAGGAAAAATGCATTATTAAACACACTTGAGCAATAAAACAATCATTTGTTAGAAAACTGGAATAACTTTTGTTTCAAAATATATCAATGTGAATATGAGAACACATTAAATTTGATTTTTTTTCTTCCTGTGAGAACAGAACTGATATGAATATCACAACTCAAATACGCAATATATGAATAGATGAGCATTAACGCGATAATAAGAAGAAGAGAAGAGAGAACACATCAGATTGCACCAAGTATCACTCACAATCACATGTGGGGCAAGGATCTAAAATGGCTTTGTTAACATAATAAATCCATGCTTGAACTCATCACAAAATTTGCAAGTGTTTCCAACATACCTGAACTTCCCAGCATCTTTCTATGAATGGGCTATGTCGTATAGCAAGCAGGACAAGGTTTTCAGGAGAGAATCTTGATGGTAGAGATTTTGAAGGGAATCCATCCCATAGCAGCCACCTCAAGCTGTCAGGAAGCATGTCAAGGCCACCACTTGGTAAATGAACTTTGCGAATTCCATGCTCTTCTGAAAATAGACGAAGCAGAGAAATCTCAAAGAAGTCATCCCTTCGAATGTGGTAGCTTCTAAATACATCTCATTGGCTTTGAAAAGGTTCAAACTAATGCCTTCTGTTTTCACCTTCCGAATTGTTAAAATCTTGCGAATATCATCAGCATTATTCAACCTACTGCGATTTGCAAGTTCTGATTCCTCATTAACAATGTTCCAAGCCATTTCTCTTAGCAAATCATGAACCTCAATGTTCTCATAATCTTCGCTGGAGACACGGATGAGCAGAGACTTACCAATTAGATCCTCTAGTACATAATTGGCACATTGATAACCAATAGAAAAATATTTCATCACTAAATTTTTCCGCTGCCGATGAAGAAAACAAGCAGTATCGAGAAACAATCTTTCTCAACAATACCAAGCTCGTCATAGCTCCTCCTAAGCACATCATGAATTTCCGGCTTGGGAATTTTCCGCAGTTCACACAAGAAACTCTCCCAGTAACTTTTGTCTCTGCAATACAAAGTACTCCTAGAACTTTTATGGCTAAAGGGCTTCCCTTGCAGTAAGATATAGCCACAGCTGATAAACGCATCCAATCATCAGGGGGAGGTACTGTCTAAATGCATGTATACCAAAGAGTTGAAGAGATTCCTGAGAATGCAAACCCTCAACATAGTATATATTAGCCCTTGCATTTTCAAGCACTCTTCGGTTTCTCGTTGTCACAATAATTCTACTCCCAAGGCAAACAAATTGAAGGTATTCAAAAGATCTCCCAACAACAAGTGCTCTAGCTCTGAAAAAGTTTCCACATCATCAAAAACAAGGAACACCTTCAGCCGAGAAAGACGATCCTTCTATAACTAACATCCAAATCTTCATAACTTATGTTGTCCTCGGACAACAATGCTGAATAGTGTTCTTGCACGATTCCTACCATCCCATTTTCCTTTCACGTGTTTGATGGATGTTCGAACAAATTGACGCTTTGTTCCTTTCGTAGAGGATGTAAACCTTTGATAGCAAGCTCTAGCCAAAGTGGTCTTCCCTACCCACCCATCCCCCAAAGTCCAATAATCCGAAAATCATTCACGTCAAAGCCAGTAGTTTTTCAACCTCACAAATGCGAGCATCCATGCCAATCAACATATCAGACTTCACTCTCGGTGACATGTGGACGAGTCTTTTCAAAACATCACTCACTATCACCTTAACTAACTCGGAGTCAATCCTAAGAATGCAAAAAGGCAAAACAAAGAGAAGACGGGGGAAATCTTCCTTGAGAAAATGGAAATTGAATTTGACAGAAACAATTATTTGCGAGGTATGGCTAGCTCTAAGGAATAAAGGGAAACTTACTTGATTTCTTGCGAGGTATGGCCAGTACAATTAGCCACAGCTTTCAAAGCACCCATCCACCTCTTCCTATCTTCTGGAACGTTGCTAGCTCCATATTTTAGATTAATGGTAGCAGCATAACTCCCACAATCCTCTGAAACAGGATGGATCCACTTTGTAGAAGATCGGAAGCACCCGGTGTCCGAATTCTTCCATGATTTGAGAAATGGTGGCCACTTCATCCAAACACCAGCTTGAATCTGCGAAATTCTCCGAGAAAATCACGATAGATAGTGCAGATCTTTGTAGGACAGAGATTAGCTCGCCGATCTCTGTTTTTTCGAGCATGTCATCAATGAAGGCTTTGATTTCCTCGCGAGAGAGCGCTTCCATGAGGTGGCTAGTAAAACTATTGCGGGTGTCGGCTCCTCTGAAGCACACAAAAACATCGTACTCCCACTTTCCATTATACATGACCCTATGAGACGAAGAGGAAGAAGAAAGCATTAAAGCTTTAGAAGAGGAGGAAGCCATTAGATTGAAGGATCTTTGATCTGATTATTTCTGATTAACATAGCAAAGGGATAGTCTTCCATTTCCAATACAAAAATTGTGGAATGGCTGGGTTGTGGGGTTGACTTACTTTTCTTTTTCTTTTCCTTGTTAGCATTAATGGGATTGGCTATATGACTTGTTCTTGGCTCATTGTTTAATGCTTCCTCACCTAATCCAATTCCTGCTATCGTCATCATTCATATATAAACAGCATCTTTCCATTTTTAGATTCACAATTGACAGTTGACGAGAGGTGATCATCACCATAGACGAAAACCATCCAAGCATATTACCTAGCCACTTATTTTATTGTGACACTAACCTCTTCATTTCTAAGCATCTAATCCTAGTTACAGTTCAGATTTCTACCAAACAAAAACCAACAGTAGGAAGATGCTTCAGAATTCAAACACATGGCAGTACATATGTACCAAAATTAGAAGACGATTGAAGATAAC